TGGCACTTCTAATAGTGGCCTCAAAAAATTCTGGTTTTGGAGCTCTAGCAGAATGGACACCTGGATGGTATCACTGGTAGAGTATTTCCAGTGTGCTAGTCAGAAGCATATGGACACTGCAAATAGCATGCACTACAGAAAATGGCACAAAATTTTGCTGGAGGCAACAGTTGTTACTGCTGTAGATGACCAATGAAAGCTTCTCCCAGGTTATCTCCTCACTTCTCAGGACACAGCAAACAAAACACAGGACTCTATAAGGGAGCCTCCTCTCTCTCTCTGGTCTGCTCCTTCAGCACACAAGGCAAATGAACCTCAAGCCAGTTCTACCACCACTGTTTAGAAACATAAAAGCTGTGCTCAGAGAGCTGAGGAGCATAGAGAAAGATTTCTTATTTGCAAGGCTGTCACACAAACCAGACATGAGCAGCTTGTTAGAATCACAGACCAGTCCAGGTCGGAAGGGACCTTAAAGATCATCAGGTTCCGACCTCCCTGCTATGAGCAGGGACACCTCACACTAGACCAGACTGCACAAAGCCTATTCAGAAGGGCTATCTGGCTGTTACCTAGTTATCAGTGGTTTAACTCACCTCTCCATCCTACCCATCCTAAACAGCTGCAGAGACTGGGCCAAAGCCACTTTCCCTGTGGCAGAGCACCTTCACTGAACCATCCACCAAGAGTGTAATGCCAAAGAAAACCAATATAAAGGGGTGACTCGGGACAGTCCTACCAGCTCTGCAAAGTATCCCAAACTGAGCCCTCTTAAATTCCAGCACTTAACATACTTTATATCTTTGTAGCAATCTTCAATATTTGGTAGCAATTTCAAATTCACTAGGCTCACAGCTGTCCCTAAGCAACTTGTGCGATTTCGTCTTTGAATTATGTTAGGAAATGTTTACATGGCATGTAAATATCATATTATCAGCTACATAAGCATTCATTAACAGCCCCTGAATTCTGACACATATTAAAGCATATTAAAGCAGAATATCTTCATTTTTGTATGATTTTACCAGTCTCTTTGAAAAGTAAGGTGGTAGGTACTAAAGAAATAGAAGCACTGAGTAACAGTGCTTAGTTTTCTGGGGATCTATTTATTCAAACTTAACATAACTAATGGTGTTCAACAGCATTTAATACTGATTCAGAAACCTTAGATACTTAGATTTCAGTATCTTTACCAGCCTGATAATCAGAACGAAGTTCCATCAAAAAAAAAAAAAATTCTCATTTCAAAAAGATGTATTATCAACAAACAAACAGTGGTTTAAAATACTGTTTCAAAAGAAAACAATGCTTAACAGAGAGCTTTAGTTGCTTCATCTTAAAAAATTTTACATATAAGATAATCTAAATCAAAAGCTAAACTGGAGTTGCATCCATTTTAAATGAGAAAAAAAGCAAGTTCCCAAAGCCAAAGGCTGTGTATGTGATAACACGTGCCACCAATCCAAGCTTGTTGCCACCCTTTCATCCACATTGAAAGCTTCTGTGCTGCTTTCCTGAGGTGATGACAGTCTAGATTTCTGTCCTTTGCTCTAGTTCCAGGTACATACTTGTGTCCACTGCTGCTTGCCTTTTTACATGAGCAGTCTGTATTGTGATTGCATGGCTTCTCCTCATACAGTCTTCCCACGCTTCTCTCTTTATTCTCCAGATATTCTTCTACATCCCCTGTCTTCACTCTTGTGCTGGTTTGGTTTGGCTGGTTTTTTTGGTAGTGGGAGAGGGGTCCCAGAGATGGCTCTGGTAAGAAGCTGAGAAGCTCCCTCAGCTCCAAAACCAGCCAAGGAGCCATTAGAGAGACAATGGATGTGCCTCTGTGATTAACACACAGAAGAACTGATGTAACACCTGAGCAGAGCAAGCAGTTGAAAAAGGAGCTGAGATGGAGAGGCAGAGTAGTGCCCATGGTTAGTGAGGAAGAAGGGGAAGAAGGTGCCCAAGCAGAAGTTCCCCTGCAACCCATGGCGAGATGGCAGCTGTCCCCCTGCACTCATGGAGGAACATTCCCTGAAGGTGCCAGGAGTGGTCAACTTGGATTTGCTTCCAGTGAACTTGGCTTATGCAGCTGTGGAGACCCTGTGGCAGGGAGGTGACTGTTCCCAAAGCAGCCTGTGACTCTGTAGGAAGCCCAGGCTGGAGCAGCTCCGGACCTTGTGGGAAGGACTCATGAAGGAGAGGTTGGTGGAAGACTCTCTCACATGGGAGGGATCCCATGGAGAAGCAGGGAAGGACTGTAATGAATCCTTCTTTCTGAGGAGGAAGGAGCAGCAGGAACCACCAGCCTGTGAACTGACTCTAAACCCCATCCCCTGTCCCCCTGTGCCGCTGGGGGGAATGAGGGAGAGAAACCGGGAACAAAGTGATTTGGGCCCAGGAAGAAGGGAGGGGTGAGGATAACGTGTAAGCACTGCTCTGTGTGTTTTGTTTGTCCTGTGGGCATCTGATTAGTGTGAAATTAATTATTTTTCCCCAAGTTGAGTCTGTTTTGCTCATGACCTTGATCAGTGAGTGAACCTCCTTGTCCTTTGTCTCAACCCACAAGTTTCTAGTTGGTCTTTGTCCTCCCCATCCCAGAGTGTGTGTGTGTGTCAGGGGCGGGGGGTGAGTGAGCAGCCTCATGGCTGTGCCCTGGTTCTTTGTTGTCATGTTTGGCTCAAACCACAATAACTTCAGAAGCTGGATGGGTTTTATTGCACCACATCTGGTATTTAACACCTCATTGTCCCATCAGGCTAAGCCAAGCTGCTGGCAAAACCTTTTGTAGGTTTATATTGCTGGCTAACCCTTGCTCTACCAGCTGAGAATACATTTCCAAAGTACCCAACTTACAAACACATATTTTTGCAGCCATCTGGAAAATATGAAAATGTGTTTCAAGCACTTCAATTTCACCCATTGCAGCAGTATTATTCAGCATTGTACCATCAGGAGCCAACTCCCGTGGGCAGACCCAAGACCAAGTCACCAAACTTGGCCAAACACCTCAAAAACAAAACAAACCAAGAGGAGGTGTAGCAATCCATGGAGCTCAACCAGGCTGAGCACCAGATGCACCAGCTTCTACTGCTCCGTTCTTCTACTTATGGAAAGAGGAAGAAGATGGTCCTATGCAGGGCTTTTACAGCAACCACGGAGCAGTGAGTGCAGCCCACTGCTCTGCTGGACACATGAAGAAGCTCCTAACAGAGAACAAGCAACTGCTGCTCACAGAGGTACAAACTGGTGAGAGCTGCTTGCAATATCTGCAGCTGTCTTGAAGAAGGAGGAGAAGATTTTTCCAGAAGATGGCAAATATATAGGCAGGCTCTCTTGTTTCTTTCAGGCTCCCTAACTGGCTGCTAGGTAAGAGCCAGATATTCCACTGTACACGTAGTTTTCCTGTCAACTTTACCTGTGCTTGCTTGGCCATATACCCATGCAACAGAATAATTTTTCTGATGCACTGTTATGGATTTTCAATTTTCATGAACTAGAGTGTAAAATGCTGGAAAAAATTAAATTTG